ATATTTAAAAGGCAATGTGCAAAGGCACTATGTTAGCAAATACCAGTTTTTAATACAAAGAACTATGAATGGAATCCTTAAGGACAGTTCAGGACAGTGGTTTGCACTATCATTCCAAACAAACTCTGGCATCTTATTTGCCAGGCATTATGCTGGATTATATATACTTTCTAGTAAATTCTATTTTCAAAGGAAAAATTAAGGCAGTTGCTATCACTTATGTTAAAGTTAACCTTTTATATTTCTGAGACACAGACAAGTTAAATATGAGATAAGATCAGACTAATTTACATCTTTTTAAAAATCTGTTTATTGTATTTTTATTTTATGTGTATGAGTGTATTGCCTACATGTGTGCAAGTGCACCTGTGTTGTGCAGTGCCCATGGAGGTCGGAAGAGGGTATTGGATTCCCCGTTACAGATGGTTGTTAGCCACCATGTGGGTGCTGGGAATTGAACCTGGCTGGTCCTCTGCAAGAACAGCTGGTGCTCTTAACCATGGAGACATCTCTCCAGTCCCTGTGATTACTATTTTAAGCCATTAAGTTTTGGGGAACATTTAAAAATTTTTTAAATTGAATTTTAGTGTATTTCATAAAGAACATCTCAAACAATCTTAATCATCTTTATATCGCCATCCCCACGGGTACCCTCACATAGCATCCCTCCCTCCCACGGAGCCCATATACTCTGTCACAAAAATTCAGACACAAATACAGCATCTGACAAATGTGCAAAGTATGAGTGTTGAAATAAGGGATGGCAGACACTTCATACATTTCTAATTCAAGGCATAACTAGTTTCCACATGAATACCGACATGTTTTTTAATCATTAAAATGACTAAAAAGTAAAACATTAAAAACTTCATGTAAACAATAATAAAAATAGGAACACATTTTTGAATGCACATATCTTACGATTATTAAAATTTATATTTTAACTCTTCTCTATAAACCACTATTATCTACATTATTTTACCTTGAAGTAGCCTTCTTCAGCAGTCTTTTAATCTCATTAATTTTACAGGTGCACTTCTTATGGATAATCACAAATGCATTACATCCCTCTGGTGGTGGCTCATCAGCAGCAATCTATGATCCCAAAGATGATGCTGAGCTACAGTATTGATAATTATAATATGATCTTAAAACTCACCTGTTACTTTGAATAAAATAACTCATCATTTACTATTAAATTTCTGTTCTAATTAAAGTAATAAACATTTTTTGGGTAGAACTGAGGAAATACTTTAATGGAATCAACTTTATCCTAGGAAAAACAAGTCCAAGTTATTGAAAAAAATTTATATTTATTATAAGTAATTTCAGTGGAAATGCATCATGTTTTCCCAATTCCAAATACACATAAAATTATTTATATTTTCTTTTGTAATCAATAAAAATAATGATAATATAATCAACAGTTTATAGAACTAAGTATAAGTTTGTAGAACATTCTAAACAAGCGATGTTCACTTTAGTTCTATGCATATTAGCAATAATTTTCTTCATTAAACAATGTTTCGGTAAGTTTACCTGTTGAAACATCTGAACAGTTGGAGAATATGCCCTTATAGAGAAAGCAAACTTTAAGAGATTGATGTGTAGATTGTCTAAAAATTGCCCAGCCTTCTTCAAGATTAGATTGTAATAAGAATAATCAGATTCTGTAAAAAGAAGAGGATGTTTTATTTTATATTCAATACACTGGCATATCCCTAATAGAGCTAATTGAATCAATGTCATATAATTCTATTTTAAGTTTGGTTATGACTGCTATAGAAAAATGGCCTTATTTTGGATTTTTCATTGTTTTCTGAGCAATGAACAGAAGATGAAGCAAAAATAATATTGCCATTAAAATCTATTTGGAAAGTCCCAGCATTTCAGATCATTATATCCCAACATTGTGAGGTTATAACATAAGGATGAGTTACAGGTAAATCCAATCTTCAATTTTAGAGGAATGGAGAGTAGCAAAGCAAGACTAGTATGATTTTTAATAACATATAAAGTACATCAAATCTGGTACAGGTAGCTAAGTATAATTAGTGTGTCTCTAATAATTCATGAGACAGATTTTAAACCACACTTTTATCATAAAGTATCATCTTATCTGGAACTGGAATAAACTAATAAACTAATCTGTTTCTTCCTTCCTCTAAACTTATGTCCATAAATTCCAAAGGTGACAGAAGGCTGGCTTCAGTTTAAAAACTCCCAATAGCCCTAAGGATACAGAGACCATCTGAATAGGGCTTGAGGGAGGCAGAAGAGAATGGTAGTAGAGAGAGGGCCTAGAGGTACTAATGGGGAAAAGAAGAGAACTTTGCACTTGTGCCCTTTTCTCTATACCCATGCTTCAGTGAACAACCTCTCACCCACGCTCGTGCAAGGAACCCTAATTAAACTAGGTGGGTCAAACAGAAGGAAAGATATGAAAGTAGGAGGAGGATTTATAATGGTTTCATCTGGAGAAATGGGGGGGCACTGAGGGTAAACATGGTTAAAATTCATTATATACATATATAAAACTGTCAAAGAATAAAAAATGTAAACTATATTTTATAAAGTATAGCAAAATAATCTCTATTATGAAACTGATGGCTTGGGCTATTTTATCTTATGCTTTTAAGCAATGAAATTCATGTTCATCAACTAACCTGATGATAATTGTTTGGCCTTTTCTATTTTTTCTTCATCTTCTACCCCATATGTACTCAATTTTGTCTTTTGGCATCTAATATATATATAAATAATTCATTTTTTAAAAAATGGCTTCTATACTTATTGTCTTTATAGTCAAACATCTTTGAATGCTTAACAATGCTTACCTCCATATCCTCAATTTCTACAAATACTTTAACCTACTGTAATCTTGATTACCATGCTGATGAAATGGCTCCCACAAACTCATCAAATTTTTTCTGTTGAAGTAGAAGGTGTGTAATATTCACATTACTTGATCTATCTATAATATTTGAAATACTGATCATATACCACTTCATGTTCTGGTTTCAAGAAATCACATTTTACCTAGCTCTACAGGTATTCTCCTTAGTCTCTATTATGTATTCTTCTTCACACTATGCCTTATGTATTGGTCTATTTCAGAGTTCTAACCCTGGGACCTACTTTATTCTATTTCTTGGCCTCTTTCCTATAATGCCAATTATCTCTCCAATCTTATCCTTTGTCCTACATGTTTTTGTCTAAGTCTCTCATTCATACATCTGGGTATTGGATAGTTGCACCTGGATATTCCACAAATATTTTCAATCTGATACATTAAATTGCAATAATTTTCCTACCACAAACCTAGTTTGGGGTACAATTATTTAAGTTAAAAAATCATGACAGCTATGCTTCCCTGGGCCTGCAGGAACCGCAGGCCTCTCTCCCACCTGCAGGCTTCTCTCTTCACGGGGTAAGTCGATTGGGCCCTCCACGCCTTGACTCCCCTACCCTCACTCACCCTCCCATCTCCTGCGCCAGTCTCTCCTCCTAGTCTGGGCCCTGTTCCATTCCTTGTCTTGGCACCCCAGACACCTGGGGAACCACCACTGCTTCTTGATCCTGTGCATCCAGAGCAACTCAGTTCCTTCTTGGGTCTCTGGGGGCACTCTGGGACTGGCCCTGCCCTCACCTCCCTCTGCCTACCTGGGTCTCCAAAACCCACCAGCTTCTTTCCAGGATGCCTGGGTTGACCTTTCCTCTTCCTGTTCCTTTGCATGCAGACCAACCCAGCTCCTCAGTGCAGTCCCCAGGGGCCCTTGGGGCAGCCTTCTGCCCCCAACTTCCTTTGAATCTCTGGGTGGCATGGCCACCAGCTGCCCTAGACCAGCATCTTTCCTGGACCTGGCTGGCAAGCCAGACCAATCTCCAAATTCCTGAGGCCAAAATCTATCCTGGAGGGATCCAGACATTAGGAGAAAGCCTGAGAGCATCTGATCCTCATTTGACTTGGGCCTCTGTT